GTGGGAGGACGTGCCCGACCTAACCCTCGGGATGGCCGCCCCAGGTTGCTGCCCTGCTCTGCGCGCCGCCGGCGCTCTCCGACTGTCCGAGGCTGCAGGGGACAATCGCCCAATGGGGGCGGTCGGTGGCAGCAGGATGCCTGCCTTGCCCCGCAGCCGGCCGCTATGGCCTGCCAGAGGCGCAGGCCGGCGGCACACCGCGATGCGGTCCCGAGGGGGCAGTCCGGTGGACGCCCATAAGAAAACTTGCACGGCACAGGGGGAGTCGGGCGCCCTCGCGGTGGAGGTCGGAGGAGGAGGAGGAGGTCGGAGGAGGAGGAGGAGGAGAAGGAGGAGAAGGAGGAGGAGAAGGAGGAGGAGGAGGAGCGAGGAGGAGGAGGAGGAGGAGGAGGAGGAGGAGGAGGAGGAGGAGGAGGAGGACAAGGTCTTGTGGCACTGTTTTCTTATCCCCTGACGGACCCGCGAGCTCTTGCCCCAGCCTGTCTCTGCATGCGCGCAGATCTCTCGGCACCAGCCCGCACCACGGGCGATCTGCGTGCGACTCGCCGTGGGGAAAAATGTGCAGGATCTTCATGCCTTCTTGTCCTCTTTTCCTTGTCAGGAGAAATCGTCAGTCTCTCGAGCGATGTGGCGACGCTCCTCCTCCGTCTCGTCGTCGTCGTCCTCCTCCTCCCTCTGCCAGCATGGCGCCGGTGGAGCCTGAGGGCGCGGCTGCTTGCCGACTGCCAGGCGAAGGAAACAGGGAGTGTGACCAAGGGACGAGGAGGAGCGGGGGGTGGCTCCAGCGGCGTTTCCTCATAATGCCCCCCGTGGTGCATTAGGTATTTCGAGAAACTCCACCCTTTCGCAATGGGGGCGGCAGGGGGCGCCCCCCTCCCCAGCAGGGCCTCGGAGCCTCCTCCCTCTCGAAGAGGCGGGGGGGGAGGGAGGGCTGCCCGAGCGCACCAGCAGAGACCAGCACGTGCACGCGCGCAGGAGGGGGGCGGGCAGCGTCGGCCCCCCCGAGGGCTTCGCGAATCTCGTCTCTCACGCACGCGCATACCGTCCTGGCATCGCTCGGACATGTGCATTTTTTCTCGGCGAGGGCCATCGAGGAGCATCGTTGATCATCGGGCGAAAAAACCCACGCACGGAAGCGAACAAAACCACAGGGAGTGGACGTCCGAGCGATGGCCAGTACCAGGGCGGGATGTTTCGCGGATGCGCGCTCCGCTCCGCCACATCACTTCTCGCTGCCGCCGCGTGGGTGACACGTGCTGGAGTCGCGTACAATAAGGACCGCCAGGCCAGCAAAGGCGGATGTGAGGACGAGGAGAAGGGACAGAGGGAGGAAGAGCAGAGGGATCAGAAGGAGGAGAAATCAGCAGGGGGATGAGAATAAGGATGAGGCGGGGGGAGGAAGGGATGGTGGGTGGGGTGGGTGGGGTGGGGCGGGGAAGGGGAGAGGGTGAGGAAGAGGACGAGAGAGTCAGAGGAGGAGACGATGATGCTGCTGCCGATGATACTGATGATGATGAGGATGTTGAGGATGAGGAGGATGATGATGAATGATGATGATGATGCTGCTAGCGAAATGAGGATGATGGTGCTGTTGCTGTTGATGGCGATGCTGATGACGATGATGCTTCTGCTGCTGATGATGTTCACGATGATCAGATGTGGAGGGTGATGGTGGTGGTGGTGGTGGTGGTGATGTTGATGTTGATGGTGGTGGTGATGATGATGCTGATGATGCGGATGCTGATGATGATGCTGATGCTGATTTTGATTATGCCTATAAGTATGGTCGTGATATTGATGATGCTGATGACGATGGTGACGATGATGATGCTGGTGATGATGACGATACTGATGATAGTACTGTTGCTGCTGTTGATGATGATGATGATGCTGGTGGTGGTGATGATGATGTTGCTGCTGTTGTTCATGCTGGTGACGATCCTGCTGATGATACTTATCATGATGGTGGCGATGATGGTGATGAAGCATATGCTTACTATGCCGATGATCATGCTGATCCTGCTGATGATGATGATGATGATGGTTATGGTGCTGCTGCGGCCGATGACCGTGATGTTGTTGATGCTGGTGCTTATATTGCTGCTGCTGCTGCTGCTGATGATGATGATGATGATGATGATGATGATGATGATGATGAGGATGATGCTGATGATGAGGATGAGGATGCTGCTGATGATGATGGAGATTCTGATGATGATCAGGATGGTGAGGATGATGATTCTGAGGATGCTGATGCTGCTGATGATGATGCTTGTGCTGATGCTGCTGCTGATGCTTATGATGCTGATGCTGATGCTGATGCTGATGATGATGATGCTGATGCTGATACCGCTGCTGCTGCTGATGATCGTGCTAGTGCTTGTGGTAGTGATGATGCTGATGATGGCGACGATTTGTGATGCTGCAGTTGAGAACGGTCATGGTGATAGTGATGGTAATGGTGATGGAGGAGGAGGTGGAGGTGGAGGAGGAGGTCAAGGAGGGACCTGAACATCTTAACGAGTTGCCTTTCGGTGTCTGAGAGGGGCGAATGGGGATGCGAAGGGGAGGATGAGGAAGACGAGGAAAAACACAATCATGTGCGGGGGGTGGGATGGGGATGAGGGGGTGGAGGAGTGGAAGATACTGAGAAGGAGATGGAGGACGGGGCTAAGAGAGGTTACCATGCCGAAGGAACTTCCATCTGAGAGTTGGGAGCCCCCTCTCGGGGCATGTCCAGCAGGGGTATGTCGTGCAGCACTCGGAACAAGAGCTGCAAAGGTCAAAATGACCACTCCTGGCGGTTGGCTGCTTGGCAGTACTCGGGAGCACTGCCAGGGAGGCCAGACACCCCTCACAAGCCTTCCCTTGCTCGCGGAACTCAAGTCCGCGAGGTGTGCCGATCAGGATGCACCCAATGACAGCCTTCCCAGTAGGAGTCGTGACCGCACCACCCGATGCGGCGAGGACTATAAAATCAGGGCACTAGGCCTACACTCCCTGGGTCGGCTGCCACGGACCGCCGTCACGGCACACTTGCGTCTGCTGGAGGCCCCCTCTATTTCCTTGGCCTTGATGCCCTCCGCCGCCTCTGGGGAAAGGACGGCCGTCTACAGATACTGCCAGACTCCTGATGCTCTGCGACAGGACTCCTCAGGTCCAGCCAGACCCCTTGATCGGGCTGACCGAGACCACGGCCGCTGCGATACTCATCACGAGCGGTGCCATCGTCTTCGCCAGCGCTACGGTGGGGCCGTTCGTGCAGGAACGTGCCCAGGAGGCCTGCAGACCCTGGAGGACTCCTGATCTGATGAGGGCGGCGGTGGTATCCATGGCCAAGCCTCAGTTGGTGTGACACCGGCTCTCCGACCCTGGAAATCCTTATCCCAGGGTTCCTCATCCAACGACCTGGCCGTGCCGACTCAGGTCGACAGCCGTTCTTGGATCAACAGCCTCCCGGAGAGCGCCGCGCGGGCGAGCTGCCCGTTGGCCGCGCGCCAGGCCGCCGCCATGAGGCCCCGTCTCGGCGGGCGCACCGCCGCGCCCGCGGCGGCCGCTTGCCTCGCCCTGGCTGCGTGGGGCGGCCGCTCGTTCGTGGCGGCGCCGCCGCCGCCACCGCCGTCGACGCCGTCGCACAGTGTGGTCGTCGACCGTCGTCGCCGCTGTCCGCCGTTGCCGCGGTCCGTCGTCGGCCGCCGCTGTCCGCCGTGGTCGCTGTCCGTCGTGGTCGCTGCACTTCGTGGTCGCTGTCTGTCTGTCGTCGTCGTCGTCGTCGTCGTCGTCGTCGTCGTCGTCGTCGTTGTCGTCGTCGTCGACCGTCGTCGTCGTCGTCGACCGTTGTCGTCGACCGTTGTCGTCGACCGTTGTCGACCGTCGATGGTCGAGCGTCGAGCGTCGACCGTCACCGGATGCTTTCGGAGGTTTTTGGCGTCCTGAGGATTGTCGTTCCCGAAGGGTTGCAATGTGTTTCTTTAGTTTGCAAAGGTTTGTCCTTAGTTCATGAGATTCCCCCACCGTCTTCTGAGGCTTTTCAACCAATTATCGGAATGTTTCCGCGGCGTCTGGAGGTCTCCAGAGGTTCCAACACTTCTCCAGTGGGAATCGAGTACGCGCTGCACTTTGAAACTGCGCTGGCGGATCACGGGAAGCGCCTCCGGCGTGCACCGTTGGTTCTGGGGCTTCATTTGACGGGAAGCGCCTCCGGCGTGCACCGTTGGTTCTGGGGCTCAATTTTCTCTAACTAAGGGGTGCGCGCCGCACCGGGAAACTCGCTGGCGGATGACGGGAAGCGTCTTCGAGGTACGAGAAGCAAGCGGGACGTTCTGGCTGAATCCTTGAGTAAATATATATATATATATATATATATCTTTATATCTATGGGTTGCGGCGCCGCACGGGACAGTTCGTTGGCGGATGACGGGAAGCGTCTTCGAGGTACGAGAAGCAAGCGGGACGTTCTGGCTGAATCCTTGAGTAAATATATATATATATATATATATATCTTTATATCTATGGGTTGCGCGATTGCACGGGGGTTTTCATTGGCGGATTCCCCAAAATGGCCATTTCGCTCGAGACATCCTCGAAAAATTGAGGTGTTGGAGGCTATCGTTTAAGACGTCTTATGTTAAAAATGGCCGTTTCGCTCGAGACATCCTCAGAAAGTCGGGGTGTTGAAAAATATCAAAATTTTTTGTTATGCATGAAAAATGAGCGTTTCGCTCGAGACATCCTCGAAAAAATGAGATGCCGACAGAGGTGTTTTAGAACCTCTTATGTTAAAAATGACGTTTTCGCTCGGGACGTCCTCAGAAAATGAGCAGGTGGTCTGCCGTGCTCCTGTGTGGAGCACGGCAGACCACGGCCATTTCGCTCGAGACATCCTCAAAAAATCGAGGTGTGGTCTGCCGTGCTCCTGTGTGGTCTGCCGTGCTCCTGTGGTCTGCCGTGCTCCCCACAGGAGCACGGCAGACCGCGCGTAGGAACCGAGAGGAGCACGGCAGACCAAGACGAGGAGCACGGCAGACCAGGCTTAGGAACCGAGAGGAGCACGGCAGACCAAGACGAGGAGCACGGCAGACCAGGCACCAAGAGCGCCCTCAAGACGACGGAAAGGATGACCAAGACGAGGAGCACGGCAGACCAAGACGAGGAGCACGGCAGACTATGCCCTAAGAGTGCCCTCAAGACGGCCGAACAACGGCAGACCCCATAGGAGCACGGCACCTGTGGTCTGCCGTGCTCCCCACAGGAGCACGGCAGACCGCGCGTAGGAACCGAGAGGAG